ATAATAATAATAATAATAATAATACTAAAATGATAATAATATTTATTATAGAAAAACGAGTATAATTAAGTTGGCAGGTACTTGACTGCCACAAAGTTCTTAAAACGATCGGTGGACTTTTTGGAGTGATACTGAGTACGATTTGTTCTTAAATTATAACGGTCTGAAGATTTGCGAACGTCGACATACATTGCAATATATAGTGGGTTGTCATCATTATGAATACGACTTATAAAGGATTCACAGGCAGCACTACGGTGTGCATCAAGGGTTTCGATACCAGCTAGCATTAAGATATCTGAGTACGAATGACCTGGCCAAATAATGACGAGAGCACGCCTCTGCACTGACTCTGGGGTCTTAGATAAGTAGAGTGGTAAGTTGGCAAATGCAGCAGAGACGTACTCAAGTATGGAACGTATTAGGCATCAAAAGATGTAGACGATATCTTCCACTGGTACAGAACTTCCCCTGAGCTGCCTTAAAGCAAACAACCGCCTGTTAGCCTTCTTCAGCGGATAGTCAACATGCGTCCCCCAGGAAGGGTCATTGGACAAGCTGACGCCTAACAGCTTTAACGACGAGACCTCTTCTATAACAGCGCCCCCCGATACGACTGGGGGCGCCTTGTAACTATTATACTGAAGGAGGCTAACGGTCAAGCACTTATATTTAGTGGGATTAAGGCGCATGTTATTGGTGTTAGCAAAATTTTGGATGTCATTCACAAGGATGTTAAGCACAGAAGGAGAATTGAAGAATTTCTTGACAGAATTTCCATGATAGCTAAGTCATCAACAAACTTGATACGCAAGCCCCAGGAAGACATCAGGTCATTAACCATGCAAGCGACAAAATAGGCCCTAAACGGGTACCCTGTGGTATACCGCCGCACAAAGCTTGGGAACTAGAACTGACCGTACCTATGTGCGTGACCTAAGATCTACCTTATAAGAAGCACGCAAGCCAACGTAGCAAACTGGCGTCTAGATTGAACTTAGATAGTTTCTCTATAAGGATTTTAAGTTCTATTAAATCAAAACCCTTACGAAAGTCCGCGAAAAACAATCATACAGCACAGTTCCCTTTAGCGAGGGCTTCGAGAATCAAATGGAGTAGGTAAACGAGGGCTTGTTCCGTACTTTTCCCAGCAACCGCGAACTGCTTGACGTCAAGATCCGCTAGTGTGTAAGGGAGGATCCTGGTGAGCGTGAACCCTTCTAGAGGCTTGGCCACTTGACAAGTCAGGCTGATGGGACGGATGTCCTCTTCTATTTTCATAGGTGGTGACGTTTTAGGCTAATTCAAAAGCGAAGGTCTTAAGA